CTTTTCTTAAATCTCTTTAGGTAGGAGTTGAAGTATCCGTGTCCTATCTTAAGAGAGTAGAAAGAGCTTGAAACGTCTCTTTTCGTACCTCTTGGAGCAAACATGTTATCTTTGCTGCACTTTTGTAATGTGACAGTTGCCACATCGAGCACAACCACAAGAAGGGCAAGCATTACTCCTGTAGGGTATGGAAACGGTACCACAAGAGCACTGCGTAACTGTTAGTCTATATAACTTATGAGATACTGTTCTGTACTTGCACATTGCCATATGAAAGTATGTTTCTTCTTTCCAGCCATCCTCACACGTGCTGCTGGCGGCGGCGGCATCGGCAAACATGACTGAGAGAAAGAAATAGTTCCTTCGGTACTACTCTCGCAGAGATAATGGGTTTGCACATTTCCATGCCGTGTCATTATCTCGAATTAATCCCTTTAATCCCACGCTCCAACACACAATGCATATGCAATCTCCTGTTTGATATGCCTGCAAATAGCCGCGAGATCGGTGTGATCAACCACAAGAGAAGTAATTGATCGTGAAACGCGCCGAAAATGGTTGAGAAAGTGATATTGACTAGTAAGACAGTTGTTCTAGAATATATGGTAAGCAATGGACAGATGTATGCGAGGGTTCCAAGCAGGGTTCTCCTCTTCCCATGTTGATTGCGACGAAAAAGGTTCAGACATGATGGGACTGAGGCTTGCCGTAGTGTTGAGAGACAATATACTCATTCATGTAGAATTCGAATTGGGTGTGCAAAAGTACGTGGCGAGTGAGACTTACACTGTTAGCTCATAGAAGATGAGGGTCTTGAATAGCAGGCTTGGTGAATAAACAAAGTAATCAAACTACGTCTAGAACTAGAATCTTTTCAAGGATATATGTCGAGTTAGAGAATCTATCAAGGGAGATGGGTACGTACATCATCCCTTTTTAATACGGCTAGATGCACGGGGAACAAGCCAATCACTCGTAGCCCAAGCGTAGGGGACAGTCATTACACCAATTTTCGCGTGACAGTCTTAGCGCCATGCGATTTTGTGCGAAGCTTGTTGATGAGGAGATATGGGTTGTGATCTTCCTAGAACCCATTTTATCTTTCTTTTCTTGATTGTCCTTCACCTTTGATTTATCTATAGAAGCTCAACCTGCGATTATATAGCAAAACAACACGACCTAGAAGGTTTAGATATACTCGAAGAAGACAAGCCTTTGGATTGCTACACATTGTGCAATACAGAATGATCTTTATGAAATTAGTTCATACGTGTCGCATGCACAGGAATCGGCTGATCAATTCTGAACTCCTTTACTGTTGACTTCCGCCCTAAGCCCTCAATTCCTTGGCGGGAGCCACGAACAGGGATTCAGAAGAAGCGATGTTGCTGCACAGAGCCATTTTCGAGCCGTCTTCAACCAAAATAAGAAATGAGGGCGCACGAGGCTCTCTTTTTGGCAGACTGTTTTGGCCGAATTGTCAGACATTCTGTGTTTGTTCCAGCTCGATAGTATCTAATCATGTCAAATGTGTTCACAGAATGCTTGATTCTAGACTCACTTGAATTCTGACCCGGCGGCTGAGATCTTTTGGGGGTGACGGACGGCTTCCGGTAAAGGAGGCGCAGTAAGGTACCTCCGTGCTGGAGCGCCAGGGCCAACAAACGAAGAAGCAACATTAGAACGATCGTCGCCAGAACAAATGTCTTAGGGCTTCTTTTAAAAAATAGAATTTGTGCCTCAGAGTCGAAATACTGGAGCACCATGCCAAACGGTGTAGTGAGTAATAGTAACTGCAATGCGTTAACATTGCTGGTATCACGTTGACCATAACACATACCTCGACATTCACGCGTGTGCTACTACTGGTCTTGATGGCTTCTGCTTGATTTGCACACGCCGCTTCTGTGCTTCTTTCATTAAGTTCGCGCATCTCCTTGTTGAGAACACATGTCTCTTCGTTTAGTTTGTGCATGCGCTCGTTGAGTTTGTGGGTAGCCAGGTGGTACATATTGCTCTCTTGATCGAGTTGATTGCTTTGTATAATCAAACGGTTGTTTTCGAGTTTGAGGATGCGTCCCAACTAATATCATGATTAGTAGGGAAGAGATAACCTGTTTGTAGTACCCTTCCACATACATGCGTTGCAAAGCGTTTGCAAGAATCATCGAGTGAACAAAGTCTAGACAAGAGATCCGTGAGCTTCTCAAATGACTCAACAATACTATTCTGTACAGAAGAGCAGTCGCTGATATCTGAGAAGTAGCACATATCCCCGTTTAGTTTGGTGAAGCGATTGTAAGCTCGAAGCGTGGCTGAGAGCGTGTCACGCAGCTGGCGCAGAAGCTGCATCGTTTGGAGGGTCTTGTCCAAAGATCTTTTGATATAATCAGCAAGGACAGCGTCCTTATTTGTACCACTGTTGCAAGGGTCTTGTGATTTCTGTAGCGCCTTAGTCGTGGACGAATCAATATGTAGAAATGAGAAGATACCCATGCTTCTACGCCCTCTTCAACTGTTCGTACGAGATACAACCATTCTCTTAGCACATACTGAATACGATGCGCTACTAACCGCAGCCAGTATCTTCTTGCATCCCATGTTTTGATTGATTGCGGAGGAGTGTTGAAGTCGAACCCATACTCGGAAGTTAGGAAATGTCCTTTGAGCTCGTCCATGTCCTCGGTGTTCAAGTTATCTTTGTCAGCCTGGCTGAAAACATACCCTGTCCACTGCAGGTTACTCCAACCACATATCACGAGAGTCATATGCCCTCGATATATTGAATGGGGAGCGATCTGTCCATCAGCGTTAGCTAATTCGAGAAATGAGAGATCGGCTATTGATTCATCAGTAACCGAGCCCTCATTCTGACTTGATGGCCTTAGAAGTAGATGTTCCATGTGGAACTCCAATTGATATGTCCTGAATCCCAGTATCTATTGTTTTTTTAGTTATTGATGGTGCATTTGCTGAGCTTAAGGTGACACATACCGGCATGTGGACGCGCATGGACGTCTCGAGAGTAACATGTTTCCCTATTGCATCACGCAGTGCTTTCATTTGGTGATGCCAACCTGTTTTGGCCAAGGTAGAAACAAAATTAGGAGTCAGTTTAGAAATGTAGCTATCACGTCTTCAGCTGAAGTACGGTAATGTTGTGATGGTAGATAGAGAGTCACAACATACATCATACGCTGATCGACATTTCGAAGGGTCGGATGACCAAAGCGCTGCCTTCGATTAGATTTGATGTGACAAAGGGTAACACACAACGAACCAGCTGCTCCAATACATCACGTAGGCCCTTGGAATCGAAGCTTCCTTTATAACCTCGACTACGACCAGTGCATATTTCTCGATCATCTATCCATGCCCATGCTTTGTCGTCTTCGGCTACCGATGCCTCGTTATCCTGCCTCGATAGGAACTTAGCAAGGACTTTGGTCTCCCATGAGGCATTAGGCACTTCAAATCTCTCAAGGAGCTTGGATGTTAGTTCCCGTTCGGATATACTACAATCCTGTTCATGCCAGAGCTCAGATTCTGTGTCGTTTGTTTGAACATCAGACCAATCTTGATATACAGGATGGTCATCGCAGACTCGTGGTTCAGAAAATATCTGGTCCCAGTATTTACCGCTCCGACTATGCGATTCTGTCTTTCGATTTTTCTTCACCAAGATGGCTGACCTTCTCAATGATTGCCTCATGTGAAGATCATCCGATATGATGGACGCTGAGCGGGAATAAAAAAGATTCGAGCGATAAAATGTAAAAGCGACCAGAAGCAAAGCGCAGGGGCTGTTAATTTCGAGAGTGCAAGGGAAGTAATCTTGTGTAACACAAAACAGCCCCCTCAATATTATATCTATCGTTTTTGAGGAGGATTCCGATCCATGACTGTGTCTGTTTCAGCCTCATAATCAACCGCGCGGCTATCAGATCAACACAGCAACATTGAGCGCCACAACCTTGCCCTGTGTGCCCCGGCATCAACCTTGGGCATTTAGGAGGCGCAGTTCTCAGACAATATGCAAATCATAGGTGCATTAGCTGCGACAACGCATAAGCGCTTTTCAGTTGACCGGCGATGGAATGTGAGGCGAACCGTCATCGGGAGTTTTGTCCAGCCAGTGAATAAAACCTATTGACCCAAGATACGAGAGACCAACGTAGGGGTTATATGTTTGCGTCCAAGTGCTTGTTTAAGTACCTTATGCTGCAGGAAAGCGGAGAGGCTGATACTATGCAACAAGGTGGTTTAGCGTCACGATCGTCATCGCCGGCTGAGCTCTCGCAAGCACCAAGCTCTCTAAGCTCTCAACCTCCAACACCAACCCGCAATTGAGGCACCAATAGCCTCACATAACGCCCAAAATGATCCTCCGGACCCTCCCTTTCTGCACCCTAGCGCTCAGTGCCCTCACACCCACCCCACCCCAAGCCGCCTCCACGCTCCTCTCCACCTCCGAGTTCCAAGCCCTGTCAGCCTCTGAGTCCGAGTCACTACTCTCGCTCCACCGCCACCTCGTAGAGGTCGAATCGATAAGCGGCAACGAAAAGAAAGTCGGCGAATGGCTCTCTTCCTACCTACAGTCGCACGACTGGACGGTCGAGCGACAAGAAGCCTCACCCGGCCGGTATAACCTACTCGCGTATGGCTCCAAACGCGAAACAACGATTCTCTTGACCTCCCACATCGACGTGGTACCTCCTTACTGGCCCTACTACTACAACAAGACGAGCGACGAGATTGGGGGTCGCGGCAGCGTTGATGCAAAAGGAAGTGTAGCGCCGATTGTCATAGCTGCAGAGGGCATACGAAAGCAGATGTACGATGACATTTCGCTGCTATTTGTTGTAGGTGAGGAAACCGGTGGCGATGGCATGCGCGCATTCAGCGACTGGTCAAAACGACCCTCCTCACACGAAATCGTCATTTTCGGGGAGCCGACAGAAGGCAAGCTAGTCTGTGGACACAAGGGCATGCTCGGTTTCGAAGTCAAAGCTACAGGAAAAGCAGCGCACTCCGGATACCCATGGCTAGGCGTGAGCGCAAACGATATCTTAGTCGAGGCACTAGGTGAATTGCTCAAGCTACGAAAACACCTCCCTTGGAGCGAAAAGTACGGAAACACAACTATGAATTTCGGGCGTGTCCAGGGCGGTGTCGCAGCAAACGTGGTCGCCGAAACTGCATCTGCGAATATCGCGACACGACTTGCGGCCAGCACACCCAAGCTCGTTCGCGAACATATCGTTAACGCGCTTCAAGGCGTTAAAGCAGCGGCGCAAGAGCAAGGCGGTGATCTAGACATCATCTGGGGCAGCGAGGGCTACGGCGTCGTCGACATCGATTGCGACGTCGATGGCTTTGACACCCTCACTGTGAACTACGGTACCGACGTACCGTTTCTCTCTGGAGACCACAAGAGATATCTATACGGCCCTGGATCCATCTTCGTCGCGCATTCAGATCACGAAGCGCTCAAGCGCAAGGAGCTTGAGCTGGCTGTTCTGGACTATCGTCGGTTGATCGTCAAGGCTAGTGAGATGCGTGGCGATGCTGTTGTTCAGGATCAAACCGAATTGTAGGATATGTGTACATAAATACAACGAATCATAATGATATCAAACGATAATAGAATGTACCCCCACATTTAGTCTACCAGGAGAAGAATCTCACTCTTAAAATCAGGTAGGTCTGAAAGCAGGTGCTCTGGTCTTCTTTCGCTCCCCAAATCTTCCCGAGTCCCCCCTCTGCCAGGCTAGACAGAAGGGGACTGGATAGATGACGGAAATTCGGAAACCGATGGATTTTTCTCGCGCATTTCCATTCACTTCCCCCCCTTTCCTATACAAGATAAGAAAGAGAGAAAGAGAGGAAAAAAAGACAGAACCGACCAGCCACGGAGGTGAAAAGAATGCATGGTCGTCTGTGAAGAATCTGTTCGTTGCGCTGTGATGTTGTGTGGAAGGGAGAAGGAGAAGAAAGTGAGGAAAAGGGGAGTAAAGTAACTTAGGGAATCTGGAGGGGTCCGTGCGAATGAGAACAACACACGTAGAGAAAGAAGAGCAGAGGACAAGAAAAAGGGAACTCATAACCAGCGCTATGCATTCTACTTACCCGAAAAGCCCAACGCCGGTAATGCTATTCTGTCTTCACATAATCTTACATTTTTAATATACAAATCGTCATGAAAAGGGCGTGATAACCACGGACCAAGCTTTAGCTAGCGATAGCCGGGACGCCATCGTCCTTTTGTGGAATCCCTTCTGCCTCCTCTGCTGCTTTGGCGGCATCCGACATGCCCATGTCTCTAAACTGCCACCCATCGGCTTCTTTAACCCAGTCTTTTCGCTCGCCGAGAATAGCAATACTGCTTTCTTGGGCGCGCTGGACGAGGAATTCGTCGGCGGCGGCTTGTACTTGCTCGGCTGTGACGTCGAGGAGACGCTCGCGCCGTGTTTGCAGCATGTCGTCCGTGACGCCGGAGAGGAACTCGCGCATGCCTTCGCGGCTGACGCTCTGTGGAGCGTCGTGGCCCTGGAAGGCGCTGAGCTTAGCTTCTTCAAGATCTTGAGCTGTCCATGCGCGGTCGCGCGCCCATTGTCCGGCTTCGGCCATAATTTTCATGCTGTTCTGTGGGTTGGGGTCGCGGTACGAGTACATGCCGAAGAGACCACCGAGGCCACGGGCATAGGCACCACCTCCGTAAGCACCACCCTTCTCACGAATCTCAGGATGCAATTGCTTGAAAGTGAGCATTTTTGAGAGAATCTCGAGGGGCGCGCTAGAAGCGTGGGTGTAGGGCACTGTGGGGACAGCGCGAGCCGAGTAGTAGACTTGATATGGCAGGGGGAAGAAGGACTTTGCGTTACGAGGATACTGCTTCTGTTGAGATGTCTTTGGGACTGTCACGTTCTTTGGTAGGGTGCTCAAGAACCGGCTGAGCGCTTCTTGGTTGGGTGTTGAACTCTCACTCCCACAGTTGAGCGCGACCCGGAGTTGGTTGCTGTTGGCGATGGTGAAGGACTGAATGGCCTTGAGCTTCTGAATGACATCACTGAGTGACTCTTGCGACGCCAATGCGGTCATAAGCTTGATCTGAGTAAGACCTCCTGTCTCTTCCGCCAGACGCCCCACAGGAGTTATACCAGCCTCGGCAAATCGCATGGCATAAGAATGACCAGACTCGGCAATGGAACTGATTGCGCCACTTGCTGCACTTTGTAATAGTTCTCGGATCTTCTTCTCGGCTTCAGGGCCGTCAAAGTCCGTCTCTTGAATAATTGTTCGAAGAAGCTCATACATGTCGGGAATGTTGCGATCAAATGCGTAGCCGGAGAAAGCCATGCCCTCCTCGTAGGCATCGAGGGACAATGGTGATTGAGTCGAGTGATAACCGACAGTGATACCACCAGTCTTAAGTTTGATCTGTTCCTCGAGCTGCTCCATCGTCTTGTCCTTGGTGCCAAGGCGCATAATAGCACTTGTGAAGAGCGGAATCATCTCTCGTAACTCGTCTGGAAGGTCTTGGAGCTTGTGCACTGCACGGAAATATGTCAGACCGTTTGTAGGAGCCTCGCGCCATTGAACCTTGACACCATCCAAGTCAGTGTGGCGCAATGGTTTCCGCTCCTTTTCTCGCGGGATATCCTTGACATGCACAGAAGGTAAGCAGCTTAGGTCTTCATTCCTAGCCTCCTCTTGAACCTGTAGCAGCTGAAGCTCCCGATCCTCTAGATACTTTTGTGCCTCCTGCTCGCTCGAAAATTGCTTGGTAGTCTCTGCAATCTTGGCTGCTAGTCGTTGGCTCTCCTCGTCTACAAGCTCCTGGCTGAATGTCTCGGAAGGCTGCATGGTGAAGGTCAGTGTGTTGGAGGTAAGGAGGTACTTTTCAATCAGGCTCTCCAAGTAGTCTCCTTCGGCGTACTTCTTCTGGAAGGCGTTGACGGTTTCCTGCCACGCGAGAGCCTTGATTGGATCAATGCCGTTGAACCAGCCTGGCTTAAGTCGCTGGAGAATACCCATGCCGAAGCTTGCGGTCTTGTGCTTCAACGAGAGCTCGAGCTGGTGCAAGATACCATCCACCTTGATCTTGTCGAAGCCATTCTTCCGAGATTCAAGCAGGGTTTCTGCAATGACTTGGCGAACTTTGGGTACGTCATCTGCCTTGACTGCATCCAGGCCTATCGAAAAGACTCCTCGTCGCCCTGCGCTATCGTAGCCGGTGTTTGCGCTAAAATCAGCACCGAGTCCAGATTCAACAAGATTACGGTACAAAGGCGATCCGTATCCACTCATGAGCAGGCTACTCAAGACACCGAGCGCAAAGTTCTCAACAGCATCGGCAGTGTCACCCATCAGCCAAGTGACCGAAGTCTTGTACTGCCTGTCCTGAGGTACTAACGGATCCAGGGGGCCGGGAACGGTGACGTGCTTGGGGGCGTCAAGAGTAATTGGCGCCTTGACTTCCTGGTCAACGGCAATCTTGTCAAAGCTGCTCAAGCGGCTGTCCACCTCTTTCAAGTGCTCTTCCAATGGCATGTCGCCGTATGTGAGAATCTTGGCGTTGCTGGGGTGGTAGTGGTCGGCGTGAAACTTGCGCAACTGCTCCCAGGTGAGGTCAGTGATCTTCTGCGGGTCGCCTCCGGAGTTGTTGATGGCAGGATAGAGATGTTCCTGGAATTTGGTGTAGAACAGGTAGCTTGCGTCTGACATTTGCCCTTTCATCTCGTTGTAGACGACACCCTTGAAGACGATGCGCTTTGCGTTTGGGTCGTCGGATTCCTTGGCCAGCGGGTTCTCGGGCCCCAGGCGCCAGCCCTCTTGAGTGAAATCATTCTCCTTGAGAAGCGGGTGTAGAGTCGCATCGAGGTATACGGACATGAGATTCTTGAAGTCCTGGGCATTGGTCGTGGCGAAGGGATAGCCAGTGTGGTCGGCAAAGGTCCATGCGTTCATGAAGTTGGACAGAGAGCGGGGCAGCATCTTGAAGAAGGGGTCGCGGATGGGGTACCTGGGCCGTCAGTTTGTGATTCGCAGAGGTCCCCGAAGGCTTTCTCACCTCTCGCTGCCACACAGCGTGGTGTGTTCGAGGATGTGCGGCACGCCGGTGGCATCTGGCGGGTTGGTCTTGAAGCCGATGGAGAAGACATTGTTGGTGTCCTCGCGGGCAATGTGCAGATATTCGGCGCCCGTCTTGTCGTGTTGAAGGTGGAGGGCCGTCAGCTCGAGCTCGGGCACCTGCTTGACGCGCTTGAGGGTGAAGCCATGGAGCTGTTGGCCGACGGTGGGCAGGCTGGTGGCGTTGGCGACAACGGCATAGTGTCGTCGCGCAGTGGCGGGCAGTCTAGGCGGGAATTGCCGCCCAGCAGAGCGCAACATGTTCTGTCGTGGGCCGGGTGGGGATGGGTGAATAGACGTCGCAATGCCTCGTACTCGGTGTCTGCATACAATATGACCATACATGCGAAGGCGGGACAGAAATGCTGACCAGCAATGACGCCTGTGTCGCCGATTGGCCGAGTGCGCCCTGTCCCCAAGACGGCTAGGCTGCAAAATCACAGCGGCGCAGAGGGTGCCTGAATGGGCAGTGGATTGGCTGGGGCGGGCGTTGGCCCATGTGCTCCTGGTCGATATTGAAGCTCGTGGGCGTGGTGGAGACAGTGCGAAGTACTACTACGTACATTCACTCCTACTCCAACGACAAAAGGCTTGCGTGGTGCCCGCCCGACGTCGACGACGACGACACCACGGCCTGCTGCTTCCCCCCGCCCCGTCCATCCTCTCGCCCGACCCGACTGGACTGACCGGACTGACTGCGACATCTGCTTCTGCTTGCCCTCTCGCCCTGTGCACCACGCTGTTCCGAGACGTCGGCGGAGACACGGCCACACCCTCTCCGCGCGCATTGTTACTCGGCTGCCGCTGCTACTGCTGTTGCTGCTGCTGCACTGCACTGCAGATGCGCACCCCCGCTGCGTAGACCTCCCTCTTCCGACACCTCCTGTACATGGGCGTGGTGGCATAGGCAGCGGCTCCGTCACAGGCCACCACCACAGGATCCACCAGCCACGGCTTCATGGCCACCGTCGCCCAACACGGCCAGCCCACATCTGCTCATTCATCCCGACCACCGCACGACTCTTCCCGCACCACCACATCGCCCTCGCCCGCCGCTATGGCGCCCGCCCAGCACAATCCGGCGCCTGCGCCTGCGCCCACTAAGAAGGCAAAGGGCAAGAAGGCCGCCGACCCCTCGGAGCAGCAGAAGCAGATCCAGGCCAAGATTGCTCAGCTCGAACTCGACCAGGCAGGCGACAAGGAGCAGGAACTGGAAATCGGTGCGTCAATGTCTGGCCGTGCAAGTGGTGGGGGCGGGGATGCTCGAGGTGGCGTACACCACATGTGCAATTCCATCGCCATCACCACGGCCCACGGCCCTCTCATGTAAAAATAAATCGCTGGCTGACCACGGCATGGACAGAACGCGAAGTTAAGAAAGCAAACCGCGAACTCTCCTCGCTCCTCTCCAACATGGACGGTCCCCTCTCTCGCCTCGAGGTCGTCCAGAAGCGATACACCGAGCTGCTGTCCGACATGAAGCGCACCGAGCGCGAACACCAAAAGGCAAAGAAGCGCGGCGACCAGCTGCAAAAGGAAAAGGACGCCCAGCGCTCGGAGCTCAACAAGGTCACCACCATGAAGGACAAGCTCGACAAACTGTCGCGTGACTTTGCAAAAGAGAACAAGAAGTTAAAAGATGAACTGCACAAACTCGAAACCAGCGAGTCGGCCGCCCGCCAGGAACTCCACGAGCGCCTCGAGCATCTTGTCAACGACGTCGACGATTGCATAGCCGCTGCAAATGGCCCAGAGCCGCAGAATCAAGCCGAGCAAGAATTAGACGAGTTGTAAGTCTGGTATCCGGATGTGTGTTGCATTGGCTGAGACGTTTAGATTCCGCCAAAAGTTCAAGTCATTTATCGACCAATACGAATTGCGCGAGCTGCAGTACCACTCGATGCTTCGGCTCAAGGAGCTGGAAATACAGTATCATTCTGCCCGCCTCGAGCAGCAGCGCAAGCAGCAAGAAGCCGAATCTTCAAAGTCACATCAATTGACCCGCCAGGTCTCGACCTTCTCACAAACCGAAACCGAACTCCGCACCCAGCTCAACATTTATGTCGAAAAGTTCAAACAGGTACGTCTAGTCTTCCACCCCTAGCTGGTCTGTATCATCATGGTTAATACTGACCAGATGCAGGTTGAGGAAACCCTCAACAACTCCAACGACCTCTTTCTCACGTTCCGCAAAGAAATGGAAGAAATGTCCAAGAAGACGAAGCGCCTCGAAAAGGAAAACCAAAATCTGCAGCGCCACAAGGACATTACCAATCGAAATATTGGTGAAATGGTCGAGGAGCGCCAAAAGATGCAGGAGGAGCTTGCCAAGAAGACGAGGGAGGCTGAGGAGCAGCGCAAGAAGATTGCCCGATTAGAGACGCTGTGCCGCGGCATGCAAGCACAGGGTCGCGGGCAAGTGCCCATGCACGAGCTGGAGCACGAGGAGCACGAGGAGGAAGACGAAGAAGTGACGGAGAGCGAGTACGAGTATGAAGACGAAGATAGCGCAGAGTACGACGACGACACCGAGGAAGACGGCGTTGAACCCGCACCTGAACGTCGACCCTTTGGGCCCGTGCCACCGCCGCCCCCACCGCAACCGCAGCCGGGCACGCAGGGTAAAGTCAATGGGCACAAACAGGTCAATGGGCAAATGAATGGAGTCAAACGCTAATAGCAAATGTCAGTCTCTCATATTGTTCCACCGTCTTCTTCTACACAGTCTGCACTTGCTACGTCCCCAGATCCGGCCCACAACACGTCCAAGATGTCGTTCGAGGAATTTGTTGCTCGCAACTGTCGTCCTATGAGTGATCGTGATATGGATCAGATAACGCATTCCCTTCGTGATGTTCTTCAAGACGTGCTGGGAGAGCGTAGCGCGAGAACTAAACGGAGACGCTTGGTGGGTCACATGAAGAAGTGAGTCTGCTAGATGTTGAGGGGTATGAAGACGAGAATTCGTCAGATTGTAATTGTTATTACCCATCGTCTTTTGGACACCAGTGGATTGGATTCAAAGGGAAAACGGAAAGGAAGGGGTTTTATCATTTGGGCTATTTTTAAGTTGCCCCCATTACTTCAGTGTAGGAAACACTTGGTATTTTGCCTAACCCAATACACAAAAACGCAGGGGGTTGGTTAGGACAAGTTAGAAATAACGTACCTGCGTTTGACCGGCTTTCAAAAACCCTGCTATGTCCTTGTTCTTTTTCTTTCTGATTTTATAACTAGAAATGATGAAGTTGCAGTGCATTATCTACACCATTCGCATTTATGTCCAAGCGAATGAATTACAAATATTGGAATTGATGTTATTATATACTCTTTTATGTCCCTAGATACACAGTTTCCACCAATGTCCATACCATATCTCTAATCTCCACACTTTTTTTTTCTTTCTCGTTTGCTGAAGTTGGCATCGACCTATATCCCACGGACGCGCAGTGCTACTATCGTTCATATACCACTGACGAGCAATACCAATAGACCGAGGCATTTCCCACTACTCAACAGCTACCTAGTAGCGAGAATGAGGGGGTTGGGGAAAGGGAAGGAAAATCATCCTTTCATCCCTGAAAAAAAAGGGGGGGCGGGGGCTCCTGGACGCCAAAGATCTAGGGTTTTTTTTTGTATTTTTATTAGTGGACATGTCGGTACGCTTCCTTCCCTTTTTCCCTTATACCTTTATTTACTAACCAAAGCATCCCAGGCCCAGTGCCACCCATCTCCTTCGCGACAGCGCTTTTTTCACGAATACAGGAAGTCGATATTAACGCCACTTGTCTGAATTATAGTCAATACAACTGTTTTGAGAGAATGAGGAAGGATAGATTACGGGGGGGAGGGCTGGTCGGCGACAGAGAGGCGGGTATGTGATAACTTTTCAACGATTTTAATTATGAGAATGTTGAGGTTAATAGAGTATTCATCCAAGTTGCTATCAGGATTTACAATACGGCGGTGTTGGATACCTGTTTTGCAGCTGAGTGAGGCGTATCGCCCATGAAGACAGAGATTGGTGTAAGGTTGGGTGTTGTGTATCTTATTTCTGCGTTTAGTATCTTGCTGCGGGGCTTTATGAGTGTTGGGTACGAGGGTTGTGCTGGTTGTGACGAAGGTGGATCAAGTTGGGCAGTGTGTGAGTCTGGTGCTAGCAGCCCCCAAAGGCACTACTATTTCTCTAGTCACATGTACCAGACGCATGGTGAAAAAAAAATCCGAACACAATTTAATTCTTTGGACTTTACCAGCCTGCTTTTCCCCCGCTTACCAACAGTGTATCAACGAGTGTACCTCCTTGTAGTGCCTTTATGGTGAGCAAGCCAGTTGGCACGGCATCCAGAATAAGATTTCCACCGCACAGCGTATAGCCGTCCAGGGTGTCGGGCAACGCGCTCATCACTACATCCTTCTCGCTGACCTTCGGTGCCAACGTCCCGGGCTGTGTAAAAGGTGCAGCGATACGCACATGAACATCCTCACAAGAGCTAGGCGCCGATACAGCAATGGCGGTATTGACAACCTTGCCGTCAAGAGCCGTTAAACTCTGCACCACGAATACCCGGTTGCTAATCTCAAAGTCTTGTTGGACACCTGCACCACTCACAGAAAAGGAAGTCGCATTTCGAATCGAGGGTCCAGATACGGAAAAGGGGAAATAAGTCGTGGTCCCATATCCATCAGCACCGCGACCGAAAACAGACTGTCCAGTCTCGGCTTCGGCGACAAGTGCAATGTCCGTCTCATCCTGACCCATGCGAAGTGTAAGTGAATTTAGACTTCCGTGCCCCGCTGCAGTCAGCACTCTAATCTTACCCGATAGCACCAGCTTGCCATCGATCTTGGAGTAGTCATAGGTAACGTTAATCGGCTTGACGGGGATTGCCGTGACGATATCACCGAGTTGCACGTGAGATGGCACGGTATCGATGGCGCGGCGCATAAGCTCGACACAGGTATCTAGGAACGCGGGTCCCTGTGCAAGCAGTGCTCGCATGGTGGCATTACCATCGCTCTCATAGAGCCGAAGGTCAGAGTTCATGGTCTCATTGTGCGAAGTCACCAACGGACCGCCTTTATTGCCCGTCCAATGCACATATTCTCCCAGAACGTTGGGATCAAAGACACCGCGCGTCGTGTCGAAGTTGCTGCCGCCGTTGGTGTTATTTGGCGTGACAAAGGTCTCGTCTACAACTTCGGGAAAGCCGCCGTGGTGCACCGAGCCCATGGTATGGCCGCATGCCGTAAGGCCAATGGCATCTTCCACTTTTTCGAAGCCGGCACGCTCGAAGAATACGAGGGTCTCTTCAAGACTTGTTTCTGGTGCTGGAACACCTGTTGTTGAGCCGGCGGCGAGAGCGTCAATGCGCCCGGGGCGATAGGGCATGTTGTTGCCTCCACATAGGTTGTTCGACATGACGGTTCCGATTGCAATTAGATCGGCCACTGGGTTTCTGGTCAGCCAAGAAGAAGAGAATAAATCCACGGACCGAAACACATACTGGAAACAGCACCGTTAACATAGGGCTTCCAAAAGGTAAAACTGTCGTTGAATGCACTCCCCTTGTTCTCTTCCCTCGCCGTCTCAAACCCAATGCTTGCATCCACTCCACCTGTACCTGCGCTTACATTGGCCGTTATGAAGTCGTGGAAAAGCACACGCATCCATTGGGCTGCCGTCGTGCGGCCACTGGTTAGTGCCGCATTCCCCGTCTGCGTCACGTAGCGGTCACAGGGCGTAATTGCAGAAGAAAAGTTGGATGCGTAAGCGCCCCAGTTGTCGACGAGGATGTGCTCAAGAAGATGTGTCTGAACATCTGGATAGTAGAGTGCGGCACTGGCTGTGGAAGCAATCACTGCGATTGCAGTTGCGATATTAATTGAGGCGAACATGATGGCTTGGTGGATTCTTCGCCCAACATTGAGGTAACATGGTTGTACGATACATATATACGTGTGATTTTGTTAGTAGATGCCGGCTGTATGTGCATTTTCGATAGTGCATTTGGCTTTGGGCAATATTCCTATCTCGAAGGTGAGGCTGGGTGGCGAGTGGTGCTGAGCCGCGGAGGAAAAGGTGGGGTGAAACGAGTAAATAGCTCTTTCTTCTTTCCGATACTATATAGAATATGCTATTGGTCGCTGGGCACGTGCATGTCTCGTTGTAGTATTTCTAATGCTGAGGTAAACATGTAATAAGCGGGGATACGTACGCCCCTTGTCAGATTGAGTAGGAGGAAACTCAGAGCATTGGGTTGGAGGATTGGAGGCGTGCAGCCAGGGTGGAGTGGTGTATTTTTTTTCAATTCCTACAAGAGGTTACCGTGAGCACAGCAGGAAAGCTTCTTAAATCCTACAAATAGTCCAAACCGCTCTTCTTGGTTGTCTAGCTAGCGTCGCGATGTGTACACTACTTGAGAGGGAGTAGTCGGAGGATGGTGATTGGCCGAGGGCGGCGACAGGGTCTTGCGGGGAAACAACACGAGCATGAACCGAGGCATGGCCATCGCAACTCGCCAACTTCGATGCCCATTACCGGCAAATACCCGGGGCCTGAACATGTGGAGACATGAAGCAGGAGGCGCGCTATTTAGCATTCACTTCCCCGGACCTGTCATGGCGCCACACAAAGCTCTCTCCCTTTCACCAGCATGGCGCCACCAGTATTGCAGACGCCCCTGTCCCAGCTGCTGGGCATCCAGTACCCCATCATCCTAGCCGGCATGGCGAGAACCTCTGGAGGCCCTCTCGCAGCCGCAGTGTCTAACGCTGGTGGTCTTGGTGTCATTGGCGGTCTGGGCTACACGCCTGCCCAGCTCCAGTCCATCATCGACGAACTCAAGTCCAACCTTGATGACCAGAATCTCCCCTTTGGTGTCGATCTTGCCCTGCCTCAGGTAGGCGGCAGCGCGCGCAAGACGAACCACGACTACACGCATGGCCAGCTGGACGAGCTTATCGAGGTGACCATCAAGAACGGAGCAAAGCTGTTTGTGAGCGCGGTGGGTGTGCCTCCTGCGCGCACCATCAAGAGGCTCCATGAGGCGGGCATCTTGATTATGAACATGGTCGGGCACCCCAAGCACGCGAAAAAGGCGCTGGACGCTGGCGTGGACATTGTATGCGCCCAGGGCGGAGAGGGCGGTGGCCACACGGGCGACATTGCAAACAGCATCCTGATACCGGCTGTGGTGGACGTTGCGCGCAAGTACAAGAGCCCGTTGACAGGCGAGCCGGCCATGGTGGTGGCTGCAGGAGGCATCTACAACGGCCGCAGTCTAGCCAGCAGTCTGATGCAAGGCGCGCAGGGCGTATGGGTGGGCACGCGCTTTGTCGCCTCAACCGAGGCAGGCTGCTCCAAGATGCACAAGGAGAATGTTGTCACGGCCGACTTCACAGACACTGGTCGCACGCTGGTTGTCAGCGGCCGCCCTCTGCGGGTGCGGTACAACGACTACATCAAGGAATGGCATCAGAGGGAGGACGAGATCAAGAAGCTGACCGAGGCGGGCATTGTGCCCATTACCAAGGACATGGACGACGGCAAGGACGTGGACATTCCGTTCCTGATGGGGCAGGTCGCGGGCGTGATTGATGACATCAAG